GGTCGACCTACGACCTATCGCCTTACCAGCGCAGAGTCAAGTGGAGCCCATTAAGGATCGGACCAAGTACTATCGAGTATAGTCCTTTGATCGCGCTCGTCGTTAGCTCTTTGCGGAGCTGACGAATTGTTGTGAGTGGCGGGGGGGGGGTCATCGTGGGCACGACAGTTTGCACCGTTCGCTCGGCTTTGCCGTTCCCTTGTAAACGGTAAGCCATTGTCACGCTCTGCCTCATTTTCACGATCCGGTCGAAGGCACGGGAGACGTCCGACATAAAGCCCGGCTCCCGGTTATGTCTGATGACTTCGCTTGCGCCGAAACGACGGAAGACGCATTCCTCGTAATTCTCAGCTACTGCGTGCCCCTCTCTCGACGGACCAGCATTGGCTATTACGTAACCGGTGAACAAGTCGGCCCAAATCAGCAGTTCGGTGTTCCTTAGAACGACTTTGGCAACGACGGAATGTGGTCCATGGAGATCACCTGGAAGGGGTATGTACCCTGGATATTTCCTGGTGATTCTCCCTGGCCCGTTGGCTTCCCTTTCCCGGTTTCGCAATCGGTGCATTCCCCCACGTAGCGTTGTACACTTCGATACAGCCCACGGGAGTGGAAGTTCGCTTGGATCCTCCGGTACGTCCTTCCAATGCCTTGATGACCTCCCTCAAGACTGGCATGATAACGGTGAAGGAAGTCTCGCTGTAAGCGGTCGGGTATCACCATCCGGACGACACCGTCGCGATCTTCGCCTTGTTGCAGTGTCTTGGAGCAAAAGAAGAGTAGCATGTTCTCGTCTACTTCGTAATTCACGACTATCTTCGAGCATGCCTTCGCCTTTTCTGCTGTCAAGGCCCCCACTTCCCCGTCGAGGTACTTCTTCAGATCTGCAATCCACTTCTCTTCATCCTGAGCTTGCCTAATCCTCTGACATCGTATGTGCTGTATGATAGATTCTTCCATCGATTTCGGGGTGCGTCGTTGTCTCTCAGCAGCTCGCGTGATTGCGTTTACGCTGACGACTATCTCGATCAACTTTGGCTTCAGCATTTCGCCTAGTCGGTTGAAGTGATCAAGTTCTGACGATCGGCCTCTGAGGTGACTATTTCGCCTTCTTCTCGTTGCAGTGCTGAACTTGCCAACTTGTCCGCACTCTGATTCCATTCACGCTTCACGTGAAGGAACTCGTGCTTCGGCCACGACCGTAGTCGATTCAGCGCATTCTGTCGGAGCAGTTGCAGGCCTGGTGCCTTGCAGTGCATCTCACCCTGCATCTGACGAATAACCAAGTTCGAGTCTCCACACATTACGACGTGCCCATGTCCAAGGTCGAGAGCAAATCGAAACAAAGAATCAGCCCACGGTATTCCGTCTCGTTCACTGTCAAATCTGGCATATACTCGGACATGGCTTCCACCACCGTCCACTCCGGGAGTTTTCACACGACTGCACTATACGCACCACCTTACTCGCGCAGATCCGTCGAAACTCACCACCAAGAGGTTCTCGTTGGGGTCGATCGTGCGTGGAGGCATGGTGATTTTTTCCGTGGCTGCTTCTTGGGTGCTAGGGCTTCATCGACATCAGCTCGGGGAGTGATGCTAGCTGCGATTGTTCCAAGGATCTCGTCTTCACCCTTCACACATTTGGTGATTTCCAACGTCCGCCCTGATAGCAGCGCTGCCCACCTACCCAGTCGACCGTCGCACCCATTCGACTTGAGCAACCAGGCCAATGTCTAGGATCGTGACAAGACCTTGATCGATCTGGTAACCAGCTGTGAGTAACAGACGTCCAAGATTCGCAGAAGCGCCAATACCTTCTCCATAGTTGAGCTCGTTTGCCTTCAGCGTGCGACTGCTGAAGGTCACTGGATGGTACACATCTTCGTGTTCCCGCATCAATGCCGCTGATATGGCCCACTTGTTCGCGTAAAGCACGATAATAGGAGTGCGTTCTGGGTCGAAGTGCTTCAGGACCGGTGTGGCAATAATCTTCGCCTTCGGCATGGTGAAAGCGTTCTTCCCCCTCACCCACATGTCACGCTCGCCCCCAGTTAATTGACCATCCTCGGCCTGCGTCTCCTCTGTGTCCATCTTGGCGATTTCATGGAAGTCTGCTTCCCGCAGCTCGTACAAGATCGCGGCATAGACTGCGAAGTCCTCAATGAAGCGGCTGTAATAGTTCAAGCTTCCGAGGAACGACTGCATCGCCTTCAACTTGATGGGGAACGGGAGGTTGGCGATTGCGTCGAGCTCCTTCGGTTTCGATTCAAGCCCAGCTGAGGATACTTCATGTCCTAGATACGCTACCTTGCGTCGACCCCAGTAGCTCTTGGCTACGCTGATCGACAAGTTCCACCGATCACAAACATCGAGCAGTTTGTCGACCCGGTTGCACATGCTATCCCACGAGCCGCCGACACAAGGAGGTCATCCACATACGACCTTGTCCCGAGGACCGACGGCTTAGGTTCCGGGTCTCCTTCCTCGAAGACATCAACAGGGCTCGATCTATCTTGATCGGGCTTGATGCGCATGTGGCCATACAACGCGTTGTCGACGATTCGTTGGTAAATCGGATGAGCGTTCTTTAACCCGAACGGCATCCGCGTCCCCTCGAACAACCCAAAAGGTGTGATGAACGCTGACACCAGCTTTGCTCGTGGTGTCATTGACACCACCCACAAGCCACTAGCCATATCGAGGGAACCGTACCAGAGCGCTTTGTCCAAGCCTTCGAGGAGGTCGTTGATCAACGGCATGGGGTACACCATCAACCTTGTAAGGCTGTTCATCACCTGGTAATCAATGCAGAGGCGAATGTCAACCCCGTTAGCCTTGATGATGACTACGATGGGTGACGCCCAAGGTGAGGTGGGGGTGCTGATGATCTTTGCCGACAACAGTCCCTTGATGAGCATTGACAGCTTATCGCGGAATTGTAGTGCTACCCGTCGACATCGTTGGGCTACCGGCTTTGCCGTTCCGACTTCAATGTCGCAAATAGCTCCGAAGGGGGCCGGTGGTAAGGCGTTACCAGGTCCGATCAGCAAGTGGCGTCGCTTCCAGATGATGCGACGCAGTCGCTCGCGTTCCTCCGGGGTCGCGTGCGGGTCATCTACTTGTACATCGTCGATGGTGACTTCCTTCGTACTTCCAGCAGTACAGCCATGTTGTTCTCGATGTCTTCAGGGAAGATATCTCCACCTTCATGGTAGCAGACAGCGTCGTCCATGCCATCGTCAGCTTCCTCCTTCGGTTCAAGTTGTGTTCCTCCTAATTCCGTTGATCGAGGCTGTTCTCGATCACCCCTGATCTCTCCCGTCGGTTCGGTCGTATCGCTCCGACCCTTTTCCTTCGGTTGAAACCCTGCCGGCTTTTCGCCCGCGATATCTGGTGCAGTGGTCGACTCCCTTGCCAACGCCGACATGACGATCATCGCCTTCGGGCGTTCTCGTCTACCCGCTAGGATCTTGGTCGGCGGCTCGTATTGAAGCACTGTCCACCATCAGTTCTGTCGCATTTCCGACCACTTTGTCTACAGCTTGCTGTTCAGTGGTGGTTTGTAACGCCAAGTTCTGCCACTCAGCGTATCTCTGGGACCCGATCGAGACGATCCCTGGTATCCGCGGTACGTGGTCTCCTTCCAGATTCCAACTCGAGTGTCGCGTTGTAACGTCACAGGTCGTTCTGACACATTTGTTATGCGCAGGTACTGCGTACTGCCGAGGCCCTTGACTGCGGTCGGTATCCACTGTTCTTCACGGGTGACGCACAGCTTCTGTCCGTCCGACGCCGATCTGCGGATGGCAATCTCCACCGATTCTGCAACAGGAATTTTGTGGAGCTGATCGAAGGTGATCAACCTTGAGTTCCCGCTGAAGAGCTGGCGGCGTCCGCACAGCTGGATTCTCGCTTCGTCCGGGAGACATAGAGATCCGAATATCAAGACGGTTCCCTGCCGGTACCACGAAGTCCATCCCCAATATCGCTTCTTGCCTTGACAGGTCTCCGACCCAAACGTCGAAGTAGTACACGTACGCTCCCGCGAGCGTGATCTTGATCCGGGCACGTCCTTCTGTCATATAAGCGCTCTCTCCAATACCAACACACTCTTGTTTTTGGCTGTCGTCTATAGCGCATCCGACCTTACGAGCAAAGGTAGAATCCACAATGGAGACTTCAGCTCCAGAGTCGAAGAGGAGCGTGGCCTTTTCGTTGTTGATCTTGCCGGTTGACTTGGCTTGGTTGAATCATTTGCCTGGAACGTGGTACTTCCAGTACCCTCGCGATTCTCCTGGCAGCAGGTTCAGTTCCATGATCACATCCGATCGAGAATAATCATTATCTCGCAAACTTGCGACTGTAAAGGTACTCTTCTCGTACAATTCACATGTATTGTCGATCAGCTTACTAACCTTCCGTGTCTCCCGCTTCTCAACGAATGAATAAATGCAGATCTCAGAACGCTCGGTTCGTACCAGATTCCAACCTGGCGAGCGTTCTAATTTAGCATCTTTTCGGCATTAGCTGGCAACATTCCCGCGTGCTTGTTCGGGACGTACCACTGACGGATCAAGTTGTAGAACTCCTCCATCGGACACTTTCAGGTTTCGTGCATCTCTCCGCATGCTTGGCAGACGAAAAGACAATGATCGGATGGATACCCCTTCCTGTCGCACTTTTGGCACGTCAGTCGCTTCCAGCACCCAGGTTGTCATGTTTCGTTGATCCGCAGTGGGTACAGTTCTTCTGCGACATTGTGGGATGGTCGGCTGCGTCTCTGTGCGTCGGCGTGATCGAGTGGTTCTCTCGGTCTTTGGCTTCTGCCAAGTAGTCTTCCTGATCCGACGTGTTCACATCCGATTCCGACTCACTGCTGTCTTCCGCCACGCGGATCCCTCGTACAGCTCGCGCATTCTTCGAGGACGCTTGACAGAGGTTTGGGCGCCGCTTTCTGCCGGAATTTGTTTGTTCCAGCATGGGTTTTCCCTTGGCGGGCCTTCGCGCGTTGTCGCGCCCGTAGTGTCTCCTCCAGATCTTCGGCGTCGGTTAGCCGCAGCAGCGCCAGCTGATCAGCCAGATCCCAATCATCCAACGTCTCGATGAAGTGTTGGACGAGCTCCCGACGTGTGGCTAGCGGTCTATCCTTGACCTGGAGTTTAGCTCGCAAGCCTGCCGCGTTGAGTCGGTGGAGATACTTCAAGGGCGACCCGTCCGATCGTTTCTTCGCGTGGTAGTACTGCCGTGCGACAGATACTCCTCGTCCGCAGTATTGCCTCTGGAACGCCTCAAACAGGCTCTTCTAGTTGATCCTCGTTGATCGACTCAGTTGCCGGTACCAGTTGCGAGATGGTCCCGTGAGGAGATCAGTATCAGACATTTTTCGCTGTCTGGAGCTTGGTCGCGGACGAACGCGGACTGCACTTCGCCCAGCCAACCCCTCGCCCGATCCCCGTCGTGATCTTTGCCGGAGTATTCCTTCAGCTCCGATATCGCCGACACTCGTATACGTGGCGTCGTCGTCGAGGGTGCAGAGGCTGCTCCTGCGGATGCGATCACTGCTTGTCGAGGTGTGTCGATGTTCAGGTTGTCTGGATCATACTCGCCGTGTGAGCCGTGATGGGACTCCACTGATTCCATCTCCACATCTTGGTTGGTCGTCGTGTGCCGACCGGCCGTTGGCGTTAACCCTTCGGTTTGGGTCTCCTTGAGGTATCGGCTCATGGCTGCATTGAAGAAGGTCTGCATCTGCTCTGGATTCCTGGCACGGCCATGGACGTCGGTTGGTGCGTTGATCAATCAGGCTTATTGTCAGCCTGGCGATCTCGTAGCATCTCTTCTCCGGACGGACCCAGCGTCATCCGCTGCAGATCAGCGGAGCTGTCCGACTCTGCTTCCGACGTGGCCGACGCGTACTGCGACGACCCTGTCTGATACACCGGGCTGCGTGTCGGCGTCAGCCTGACCGTCTCCGGTTGCGTGATCGACCCGACCAACGGCTCCAACTTCTCGTACAATACTCTCGCAGAGTGTTGGATCACCGACGTCTCGAGATCGAAGATCTCACTCGCGTTGAACGCCCCTGGTGTGATGCCTGCGTCTTTCAGTATTCGCAAGAGTTGAGTCGCCGCCTCCAGCTGTCGGGGCGTCTCCGCTGGTTCCATCGTGGGCCCTTGGAGTTCTCCGATCAACGTCGGGTTTAGGATTTTCATCACTGGGTCGTCCAATAAAAACGAGAAGAGGTCCTTCTTGCAGAAGGCCTGAGCCAGCTCTTCGTTGGTCCATTGTTGGTCACCGCGGTCCTCCGTGTCGGAGTCAGGCGCCTTCAACTGCTTCGAGCTGACTTCGGCTTCTTCTTCTTTGCGGTATCGCGCGAGGCCGACGGGGTGTTTGTGGATGAAGTTCTTTCGGCTTGCGCCGCCCGAGCTTCACCCAGCGGATCGCGACCTGTGTCACCATCCGCGGGGGGTCCCGCGAGAGCGAGGAGAGCGAGGCTTTTTTTCCAAATCCATGTTCGAACCTTCCTCCTTGGTATTGTTAGAGCTCCTCCCAGCACTCAGACTTTGCGTGTATCCTGCTTCACTCAGCAGCGTCTGCGGCGATACACCTTCCGCTGACACCTCAATCCCAGGTTCCAATTTGATCTGGGTGGCATCTTCGTCGGACTCACGGTGAAATCCCTGTGAGTCACCAGAAGATCCGGGCACGCGCACCATTGTGGCGATGTGGGTTGGCAGAAATTGCTGTCTGCCTCTGTCCAGCTCGCTACAGTGCCTCGGACGACCGACAAACGGAGGGGGTACTCCGAGTCTCCGCTGACGCTGAGGTTCTTCTCACCTTGTGTACCCGTCGGTGGGGCGGGGTTGCTCTCTTCCAGTGACTTGAGGATGCCTTGGGTGGTTGTTCGTGGGAACCGTATGGACGGTATGTGGGATTGTTGACTGCCGCGCGGATTCTTCTTCACGCGGCTGTCGGGTATGTGGGTAATCAGATAACCAATCTACGTGTCCTTGTGACGCGTTGTGATTGGAGAAAAATTCGTTGTGATTGGAGAAAAATTCTCACCACCTATTTCAACTAAATCGGTCTAGTGTTTGTGCCAGAAATTGTGGAGTATGACTATTGATATTTGGTGATGATCTATTCGGTGAAAATGCGATGGGTATATTTCCGGTATCCAAAAGATGGGTACACGAAAGAAGATGGATTGGCGAAAAGGAAAGTGATATGGATATACCAGTGGACAAATGAAGCGATGGTAAAGTTGAATTATCACCATGCCGACAGGCCGCGACCGGTGTCGAGAAGTGACTTTTGGATATCGAGGTATCACGATCAATGGATATGTGACTATAATTCAGACTATATGTTAATGACCGACCAGCTCGACCGACCAGATATGCTATGGACTTGAAGATCCGAAACTGTTGGATGATTGCGAATGCCGACCTACATTGAGACCAAGTTTATTTTGCATGTGTTATGACTATCAGAAAGGTTTGACAGAGAGACTTATATTTTTATAGAGAATTCGTTTTGTCACCTAAAGCACAAGCACCTTCAGGCCGTCT